CAAGACAATCAGAACAGGAAAGAAAAACAGCATTCACTTGGAAGATCTGGAAACACAAAGTGGTCCAGCTGGGGTCATAAATGCCCTGCAGACACRTTGGAGTGCGTGACTTTCTAAAATGGCAGGAAAGTGGTCATGGGGCTCTGCATTTAAAAGGGGTGGAAATTAGCATGCAGGGCTTTAGAAGGTTGCTTCCAAAGTATTTGTTTTCCTGTGGGCTTTGAACAGGGCTAAGGTCAAACTATGCATTTGCTGYACCCTTGAAGAAATGAGAACACCTGGGTTTTAAATGCTTCTGTTGTCTTAATCTATATCAATAAGTCATTTGTGCATTCAAACAGCATGTGACAAGCAACAGGGCTGTGGAGGATGTGGCTGCATCTATTATAAAGAGAAACAGGTTAATAGGTCAAAAACTTGGAACAAAACAAAACTCTTAAGKGATCCCAGGTTGATCCCAGGCACTTGATTTGTGAGAAAGAGCATGTTTGCATGACAAGTAGGGCTTCCATCCCACTTCATTTCCTCCTTGGTTCTTTCTTGTTCTACCCGTAGGAGCTGYTGTGCGACAGGACAAATTGGAGTTCCATACCTGACCTCAGTTCACTGGTCAAGGACCTCTGCCAAATCACCCAAACATTCAGAACCTCAGTTTCCCCATTTGAAAAATAAGATTAAGCTCAGCACTGAAGGCATTTATGGGGCCATTATTATTTAAGATGAAGTCTCTGAACCATGTTGTCACTCATGTACCTCTAGACCCATAAATGGAAGGTTCTACTGGAATGGTTCCTTCTGGAAATATGTACAGATCTGTCCCCAGAAGTGGTCAAGGAGTGGACTTGGCTGAAGATGCCCATGGGAGGTATCAGTTAAATCATGCATGGTAATTATTCTGAGATGGAAAATGAGCAGCCAGATCCAATATCAGGATGTTTAGGTTTGGAAGTGTTTGGTGATCCTTCAATGTAGTCATGCCTACCCTCACTTYAACCCCACCCATCTAAGCCTGCACCTGGTCAGGACTGAGTGGGGCTGGGGGCATGAGATACACTATGGGTTAGCCCTAAATAGGCCTCTCTGTTACCCTTTGTGTATTTGCATCTTGTATCTCAGAGTCATCAAAATATGGAGAGATATGCCCTTGAATCCCAGTTTAGGTAAAGGACACAGTAATTAAAAGCRGGGTCTCAGGAGCAGACTCTCATCAGTTACATTCTTGCTTCTCTATTTCTTGGTCATGAAACTTTGGCAAAGTGCTCCACCTCACCTCGCCTTAGTTTCTCTCTCTGTACAATGGTTGTGAGGATGAGCTTGATGATGCTTTAATGGCCAGTGAGAGGATAAAATGAAATACTACGTTAAAAACCCGTAGCAGASACTTGGCTTGCTGCAAAGACTCAGATAATAATGCTAATTATCAACTACCACAATCCAAGAGAAGAGGCTGGAAGAATGAAATAAAGCCCCCAAGATGGGTAGGTAGAAGCCTCTAGCTTAAGCTCCTTGGCTCTGAAGAAAGTTGAGATTTCCCTTCCAGTAACCCAAGATATTTTCAAGTCAGACCTCTTTTGGGGATGCTCTTGCCTATCTGTGTACAAGGACACAGCTAGGAGGAGAGGGTCTACCCTCCAGGGTGAGGGTCCAGGGCTATGAGTAACTTCCTTTCCTCCATTCCAGGCCTGGAATTTGTTGACCTGGGAACTCCTCTCATTATTTTCTGGCTAGTGGGGCAGGGCTGAGGTGTGGTGAGGGAGTCATTGGTGATATTCCTGAGGATAAGGTTGATAGAAGTCCAAAGGGAAGACAAACCTGGRTTCCTAGTCAGTGCTGAGACCAATCCTGGAAAATAGGCTCTTTCTCATCTGATAAAGGAGGAGTGTCCTGGACCATCATGCCTCTTCCAAGTAAAACCCATTTTCTAGGTCTCTTTTCCTTATACTTAGTCTCTAGTAAGAGCCAACTCACAGGGCAGAGCCTCTGCTGGGGCCCAGATTGCTCACCCAGGATGTCCTTGCCCTTGAATACAGTGAAAGAACACTTTAAGGGACGGACAGGTGTTCCTGCATCCACGTGGGGAGTATGGAGTACTCGTGGTTTATGTGCAATTTCTCAGTATGTCTGTTTTGTGGGAAGCACCTGGTGCCACATCTTAGCCACAGAGGCCTTCGAGGTCATGCATGTGTACGTGCACATGGGCAKGCACACACCCAATGTCTTCCCAGGCCAGGGATGCAATGTAAGTGAGTCTCSTGTAAGACAATAGCAGGGGGTGGGTCTCTTGGAAACATGACTGTTCTATGAGACAAAATTTTCTTATTTTTTTAAAAAAACCTCAGCTAAGTGCAGTTTACTGGCCTGTTTACCCGGCTTTGGCAATGGCAATCCTCCATCTTCATGTAACCACTCATGCTATGGGGCTGGACCTCAGGGTAGGGCAACATTAAACCCTAGGGCTACTGGACAGCTTAGCAAGACTTCATCCAAAGGAGTTGAGTGAAGAGGAGACAGCACAGTGAGCAGTGCCCTTGCAGGGATTGCTGCAGCYACAGACACAGGGGCATGTCACATGAGGGCCTGGTTCCCTCAGCAACTCTGACAGCCCTGGATCCTGTCTGTAGGGTTCTAGGGAGTCAGCTGCTGACTAGAGGCAGCAGCCTCCCAGGAGCTTCCTGGCAGCCCTTGATCACATGATTTTCCAGCTTCTGGARAAGGCACACTCTCTGCGTGCCGTGGGGCAGGGGCCACCTTAGGTATCCCCACACCTCTGGTTCTGCAAAGTGCCGGCCTTTGCTTTAAGTYTCATTTCCTCCTTCGCTGCAGTGCCCCTGTAATGAGGCCTGGGCTTTTCAACAGAGGATTTCAACAACAACAGAAAAAGAGGCTTAAGGGAATAAGGAATTTGCAAATCTTATACACTGGAAACAGGCCAGGAGTTCAGTGATGCTGGAAGAAACCCGAGACTTTCCCAAGAGCACCAAACACCCTCTCTAGCTTCCACTCTCTCCCAGCACTCTAGAAAGCCCAAGCAAGATTATTTGAAAGCCTGGCCATTAGAAGGCAACTCATGGCCTATTTTTAGCCTGGATCTTGTATCAAAACCAAGTGGAAGGCTCATCTTCAACATTAACAGCAGCCCTGTGAGCAGAGATAAAGGTTGCGGTTAAGAAAAAGCCATGTGTGCTGTGGGTGCACACATGTATGGGGGCTGCAAAGCCTTCCCTTGACAGAGATAAATCAGCTGGCCTTTTAAACTGTCTTTAGCTAATCCATTAGAAGCTTAGATGCATGCATCTTAAAACAGCTTCCCGGTAGGTTTTGGGTAGAGTGTGGTTGGGGTATCAGTTACTGGGATTCCTGGTATCCCAAGCAGATATGATTTACATATTTGGAACCAAAACCTAGAGAGAACAGAGTGGACTCAAATCAATAGCAATCTCTCAGAACTCTAACCCAAGTCATGGAGATTTGTGTAGGGTTATCTTCCTCTCCCCAGGATGGGCTCTTGGGGAACTTGGCTCTCATTTCTTAGGTGAAGGTGACATGGTGGTTCGGAAGGAAGCTGGAGTTGATTCTTCCTTCAACTTTATCTACATGGAGAATTAGCAGATTAATTCTCTTGCCTTGGGATGCAGGGAGGGCTTTGGCCAGAGTCCTTACCTCTGTGAAAGTCTAGGGGTCAGAACTCCAGGCTGGCTATCCCTCTGACCTGTGGTGTGACCTTGAGCAAGGTCATGGCTCCTATCTGAACTCAGCTTCTCCATGGTGTAAGAGGAGGGGTGGATTCAGACCTCTACTGACCTTCTTGCTCTAACTCACAGAAGAGCCCATTGGCCAGAGCCCTGGGAATGAACCAGATCCCCACTGACTCTGGAGTGTCACAGGGTCTTCTGCCGGGATGTTTCATCCTCAGCTCCATTTGGCTATGCTCAGTTCCTGCTTCCTTCATCTGCCAAAACATCTGGCCAAGCAGGTACATCCTACAGGTCAAAAAGTACCATCCCAGGGGACCAGGTGTTTCCTCCAAGGTCACATGTTGAGCATTTGGCTGGACTAGGGCTTGGATAAGCACTTCTTGAGTCCAAGCTTTGAGCTGGGGGGGGAGGCTTCCTGTTTGGCAGTACCCCAGAGTAAGTTTTTTTTCCAGAGGCAGGGAAAGACTTTGATGGGTGGTGTATATCTCCCTTCATTCTCAAGGGACATGGGGCCCAGAGCTAAGGGCTCAGAACACTGCCTACTCACTTTTCCAACATGGATCCTTTTCCAGAGGAGTCAAGGGGCTAGGATTAGGGTCTACTTTGGGGAAGTCAGTTCATATACTAAACACCTGTCCTCCTAGCCAGCTGAACAGTCCTGTGATCCAGTGAGGTGAAGGAAAAAGGACCAGCTTAGGTGAACTTCTCGTCCCTAAATGGTGTGCTCCTGCATTCAGCTCACAGCTAGTGGGCCTGGGTTTCTAAAGGGTATTCTCTTAGTGGGTGCTGGGGTGGATCGGAGGAAGCTGGCTATCTCTATGCCTAACCTGTCCCAGGGCAGAGCTGCTCTCTTTCTGGAAATTCTCTCTCCCCAAGACAGGACTGTAGTGAAGCAAGACAAGTTGAGTTCAGTGGACCATTTTCATAACTACACAATAAGGTATTGACTCACGTTTGCTCAGCCCTTTGCACTTTCACCTTCAGGCTCCACCTCTGCCCACAGCCCTTGGAGAAAGTAGGGCAAACCCCTTCACTCATTGCAGTATGTGGATGAGAACGCTGAGGGTCCTTAAGGTTACACACAGAGTGTGGGTTGCCGACCTGAGATTCAGCACCAGGTCCAAGGCTCTATTCCACTTCTACTATTCTGTAGACACTTCTCTACAGAGCAGTATCTCTGGGGGTATCAGAAAAGATACTGAAGGACAGAGGTGGTTGCCATCACCTTGCTGGTTCCTATTCCTCCGGTGGCCCTGTMGACTATGCCCCTGAGTAGGAGATGGCAGCCAGGAGGTGGGATCTTACCTGCAGCAGTGGTGATGCCCAGGAGCCGACAGGTATATTCCAGCCCAGTCCAGAACACCTGGAGCTTCATGGTGCTGAGGACTGGGGCAAGGTTCCAGTGGGGCAGGCAGCAGAGGCTCCGGCCCTAAGATGCTCCAGAAAGCCTGTGACCAGGCAGGAGGCTGMGGCTGCTGACTGGGGCCCCCTGAGCCCTAGAGCCCTGCCTTTGTAAACCAGTCCTGGCCACCTYGGCCTGGCCAAGGTGTGAATAGGGCTCACCTTCCCAGCCCAGTAGCCAGTGCTCTTGACAGGAGCTCGGCTTAATCATTACCTTGAAAGAATGCTCCTGCTGCTCTGCATAGCCCCAGCCTGGCCTGAAGGCTTCAGCCACAGAACAGCGCAGCCGCCTGAGATCAGGCCGATTAGGGCAGGGCTGGAGGCAGMCTGGAGCTGGCAATTAACTGTTTCTGGCTGGGAGGAGGGAGCTGAGGAGTGAGGAGCCCAGGTCCTTCCTTACCAGGCCCRGTGGAGGAAGTCACACCTAGACCTCACACCTGCTGGGGGCCTGGAGAGTACCATGCACATGCAGATCCTTGTTGTGTGGTGAGTATGTGGGAGAGAGAGATGTGTCTTTAAATCAGCAAGTCGAAACAACTTTTGAAATGAGTTCCAAGCTTCTTTCTTCTATGCATTGGTGGATTAGAAAGCTTTTCTAGTCTGGTGGATTTTGACTCTGTCCAGTCCTGCTGARCTCAGGAGAGTGCCACCTAGGGACCCCTCCTTTATCCCTGACATACATCCTCAACATGGGATGTGGGAAATCACCGTRATTCTGAGAGGAGTTCTCCATCAATAATTAACCAGGTGACCTTGGGGAAACCTGAAGGTATTTGTGAGCCTGAGTAAGTTTGGCAGAACGTAAATGAAAGGTGCTGCTGGATTGGTGGTTCTCAGAGGTGAGTGTCCCTAGAGCTGTGTGGAGGAGCCTGCCTCTACAATTGGACCATGTGGGCTTTCACTGATTCTTAATTTACTAATTAATATAATGATTGAATGATACCAAATTTTAGTTTTCTTGCTACAAGTTTTTATTTTTATTTTTTTAAAATCTATTCTCCCTTTGCTCATGTGGAAYAAATAACAAAACAAACAAGGAAAAAACAAACCACTCCTCCAACCAGGTGCAGTCTGGTTTCTTCTTTTATTGAGGATGATACACTCTCATGTAGACATTTTTAACTATTCAAAGGGCCTGGGATGCAGTTTTGTGGTAGAAAGCTTGCTTGAAAGTGTAGAATCCTGGGTTCAATCCCTAGTACTAATTTTTTTTTGCTTATTAATTTGACATTCCATAATGATCACCTTTATTATATTTATTTATTGGTTTACTTTGTATTTCTCTCCTTGAATGAGTTTAAGAAACTGTGCTCAAGTGATCTAATGCCTAGCATATGTGAGGTCCCAGGGTCGATGCTAGCACTATGCCCCTGCCCCCCCAGTATGATTTGATTTACTTTTTGGATTAGCGGACTGTGTTTATTAGCAGACTGATTGTCCATTAGCAGACTATCAATTCCAACCTACCAAGCAGTGACATATCTTGACACTATGCATTCCTCCCCCCAAATGCAGGTTTTGGGATCTCTGTGGTACACACTGCATTGAACAGAAGGAAACTAGAGACTGGCATCAGCAGCTCCATGGCTCCATACCCTGATTTAGGATCCTTTTTCTCTGGGAGGATGGGAGGCTCTGACCTCCCCATAGCAGTCACTTGATTCTTACTGGCCAGCAGTTGATTTTGCTTTGTAATAGACACCTGCTTTAGAAAACATGGGATTTCCTACTGTCCTTAGTCCACTGGTCATTGCCATGGCCTACCCTACCCAGCCTCTGCTTTAGGAATGAACATTTGACCTAATTCTGGTCAAATAACCCAGAGGGGCTGGTGCTAATGAGCTTACAGAGAGTGTCCTTCACTTCTAACAAGGGGCTCAAGGATAGGCTGCACTCCCTCCCTTGGAATTTTCCTGGTCAGTATGGAMAGCTATCAGTGATGAGGAGGATCCAGGCAAAGGGTATAACTAGCTCACTGGATCTGGCCTGTGAGAAGACAGAAAATGCCATGCTGATATTGGAAACTGYGAAACTCACCTGTTCCTTATTGTCAAGCAGTTGATGTAGGTTTCTGATTATGGCAGAAAGCATTTTTGCCTGACAGAGTGGGTGGTGTGTGAATAGATCTCTCTCCACAGCTTTATCCTAAGGGTACTTTTCTCTGCACTGAGCTCCCAACAGGTGAGATAAAGAACTAATGAGCCTGGAGGTCAGGGGCATCTTCAAGCCCTGAGGGTTCCCTGCTTCTCTGGGGTCAATGTTTAAGAGTCCTGGAAGATGGGACTGTTGGGCTGATGGTTAAAAGAGAGCAGAGCCCATTGCAGAAGTGGAATGTGGAGGAGCCCCAGAGCAAGCCCCTTTTGGAAAAACCACAAAGTCTACTCTGCAGAGCTTATGCCTCCCATATGATGAACCATTAAGCCTATTTGTGGAGTCCCACWGGGGAGGGAAAAGCCAGCGCAGACAAGTTCTTCAGACCTCTCAGTTCAAAGATTGCCAGGAACCAGGGGCCAGATACTAAAATAGATGAGAAGGCAGTGAAGCCCCAGACATCTCAGCCTGACCCTACAGTCACTAATGCACTGGGGGTGGAAGGGAAGGGTGTATTGGATAAATCTGGCAACCCAGGGAGCTTTGCTTTTTTAGCAAGCTTAGGAGAGGCAGAGGAGGGCAAAAAGCCTTGGAAGGTGGCAAGGGAGGCAGAAATCTGCCAAGGGCAAAGGTAAAGTACTCTGAGTGACAGAAAAACAGTTTCAAATTACAGCAGTAAATGAAGTAGGGTGTGCCAGAACTCAGGAAGGCCAACAGTGTTGATGTGGACCTTACACAAGGAAAGCACAATTCATCCTTCAGAATCCAATGGATAGATATTATGGGGAAAGGCTTGGAGCTCAAAGCAGGGGAATGCGTTCTAGTAGTCTGTCACCCAGGGATAGGATGGGCCTGGAAGGGAGGTACTGATCTTGAATCCCATGTGAATGCCAGGAGAGGCATCCTGTGGAGACCGTTTTCAAGCATTGAACAGACCCAGGAGTCTGCGATTCCAGAGTTTAAAAATTCCTGGAAGAATCCAGATGAATGCTGCAAGAAATACGTCTGAAGACACCCTTTCAGGCTCCTGGAATGCCAAGGAGAGACAGATGCCTCATCTGGATTCTCTGTCTACCTGCCCATGGTTCCTTCATGCCTCACCAGAGAGAGCAGCAGTGTAGGAAAGGTGGGTGGCAGGGACGGGCACAAAGACCAGCTCTGCATTCGGCAGTGGTGTGGCTTGGGACATTCCTTACCCTCTGTGTCTTAATTTCCTTATCTGTAAAATATGTCTGAAAGGTGCCCTTACTGGGTCAGAAGAACAATGTCCAAAGCACATTTCTAGAGAAGATGGCAAGAAATGGGAGCTGATATTATTAGGAAACAAAACAACAACCAATAAAACACCTGTCCACCCTACAGAAATTACTTAGGTTTTAGGAACTAAAAACTCTAATCAGGGGCACTATCAGGCCCCTGACTTCATGGAGAACCAGGTTAAAGTATAGTTTTTTGGGTTAATGGAGTCATCCAGAGATTTATTGAGCATATTGTTTTATTTCATTATACACCAAACAGCATTGTGTTTGAGCAATAGGAAGAAGGGTTGACTCTGTAGATCCAACCCACTTGGCAATAAACTATCCTGTCCCTTGGACTTGGGGAAATTAGCAATGATGTTTATTATAATTGGTGTTTACTCAACATGACTGTATTTCTGATACAAAATGTTGTTACATGCACATGCAACCCTATTCTTATTACTACTCTAATTTTACAGATGAGAGAGCAGAGTCACATGTACTAGGAATACTCGCTCAACACCACACAGAAAAGAAATGAGGAAACACTGAGTCTAGCTAAGCCTCTGGTGGGGCCCCCTTGATGCTCACTTGGGTTTATAGGTACTTCAGCCTAAAGCTGCTGAGGGGACAATTCAGGATCATTGCATGTGAAACTGGAATCAATATCCTCRCTTCTCCTAGATTTGAGGAGGTGGAGGTGGATTTGATGAGGGCTCCCATCATCTCCAGAGGTGGTCCATRGGAACAAATGCCCCCGATTGTCAGGCTGCAGTTTCCCCAGACTTGCCTAAAGCTTCTGTTTGTTACTATAAATGGATGCTTTGCAGACATCCCAGACATATAGGTAGACATAAATTGTGCACCAATGATAGCAGCCCCAAAATTCCAGATGCCTGGGATGGCTCTGGGGAGCTTGAGAAGTCAAGAAAAGATGAAATGTGGGTATGTGCTAATCTTTGGTCATTGTGTGTAAGGAAGCTTCCATAAAATAGTAGGAAGGTCATGGGCATAACTCAAAGCAAGTGCCTGTCCCTGGAGACATTCCAGAGCTGATTTAGATGACCTTTTGACCTCTTCAGACCTTTCCCCCACCCCCTGCCACCTCACCCCTTGTCTCAGGGATAGAATAAAATGGAGATCCTCAGACTTGCCTCCTAACCTCTCATGCCCTACCTCACTACACCTGCCTCCCACCTGTCTTTGCCTTTTGCTGGAAGAAGAGGGATTAATGCTCTCATCTGTGTTTTCCATCACCATCTTCAGATGTCCTCTGGGACCTTTGGGTCATCAATTACAGTCTCTGTGTCCAGTCTTCAGACTGTTCCCTCCACCTTTTCCCTGTGGTCTTCTACAGCCAAGATCAAAGCAAATTACAGTGCACAGCACCACCTTCCCCTGCAAACCACACTTGGCCTCTGCTTTCTTCACCATCAAGGCTTTTGGAAGTGGCCTTCATTTTTCATTCACTTCTCCAACTGCTGTGATGTAGCTTCCACTTGATTCTACGTCCCTGCGCCTGACCATGGAGGCCTGGCAGCTCATCACCAGGTCCAGCAGCAGCCTAATTGATGTGCTCATTCAGCTCCATCCCTGGGAATTGTGGGCACCTAAACCACCCCTTCCTACTAAAAAATCCCCC